TAAACAGTTGAGCATTGAAAGGGTCTCGCATACACTTTTGTGTTAGGGTACCAGCCCACTCGCATTTTGTGTGAAAATGCAGCTTCAGTGCTATGGCTTGCTAATATGTCAGCCTCAGCTCTCCAGAGTTAAAAACTGGTTATACAGCCTTACTGTAAATGTGACATCTGCTGGCCATTCAGGGGATGTCAAATTTAATGTCAAGCATGTTCATCCTTTTATAAATTAAGTGACTATGACTGGGGAGTGCCAGATGAATGTCGGCAAATGTCAACAAATGTTAGAAGGGGGAGTTTCCCAAAAGAAATCGGACAAAACTTACCAGCGAATCCTTTTAAAATATTCTAAACGTTTTTGAAGCTCAAGAATCAACATGATAGGCAACTAAGCATGCTCAGGTAGGGTTGAGCAATGGCTGCTTACATATTTCACTAATGCCAGGTTTCCTATAACATTAGTTGTATATTCAACAAGGCAGTAATTATCTTAGATTCCCTCCATGGCTCCGTAGCAGAAAACTGTAAGTAATGTGAAAAGGTTAGCACCGTGAAGAATCTGCTCTCAAATATATTTGCTTCAGCTCTTTTGAATGTACACATACATGGCGCTGATCAGATAACAAAAATAACACTAACACAAAATTAACTTATTTGGCTATAGTGAGCTTAATTAACTTTTATATCTGCTTCTGGTCGTACAGAGGTTATGTTGATGCATTCAGTTTGGATGTGTGAGGGGAAGCGATGGAGCCACTAGCCTAATTGGAAGCAGTTAGTGGTGTAATGGTCGTAAGCTGGTGGTGCCAGCTACATGAGTCACCGAATGTCAGCCGCGTGCAGTCATTTGGGGCCAGCTGGTTTAAAGTTGGAGAAATAGCAGAGACCACTGACTAATTTAATTCCTGCAGTGTCTGGGAAGGGGAACTGTATGCTACAGGCCACCAAGGCGTTAAAGGTGAATCGTCAATGTTAGAGCGCTTGTGGGTTGTATTTCTTGCTCAGTCGACATGGTTAGGTTCATCATTACAACAGTTGGATCACTTGTTTAAATCTATTTAATAATGAAGTCATGCCAATTATAGCTACTTTTCTTGCCCTAATTATATTATAATAATATTGACATGGTGACAATTTTCTTGCATTGTTTTTGAGTTTTTTTCACAAAACACAATAGAGACTTATGTATATTTTAGTAGACCCGTTTTTACACTTTGGCCACATGGCTTCTAACTGGATTGAATGCTGTGGAAAACAACGTTGCCTCAGGGTGAAGATTGGATATTTCTAAATTCTATTAGGGCTACAACAACTAATCGATTATGAGAAAAATTGGCAACTATTCTCATCAGTCTCGATTAGTGAGAGAGAGATTTATACAACCAATTGATTAGTTGAAAAAATAATCGGGCAACTAATCGATTATGAAAATAATCGTTGGCTGCAGCCCTACTATTAGGAGTGTCCAAGGCTGCAAGAGAGAAAAGTGTGCAAGAGATTTGACTTCCTGTCCATGTTCTGTGACAGAACCACATCGCAAGTACATACCTTTGGGTACCGTATTTGCCTATGTATGCTCAAGCTCATGTGTTACACTTCACTTATGTTTTAGCCTCAAGTATAATTACTGACATGGTTTACAATAGTACAATGGTAGTATGTGCTTTATTTAGCCATTATAAACTGATAGTACAGGTGTCCTTGCTCTCTTCCTCTCACGATCCCGGCCTGAACATTTGTGTCTTTCTCAGCCAATATGAAAAAGCAATAAATCAGTTCCTTAAGTAAATGCACCTATGTGATGCTCCCTGGAATTAAACATCATTGCCTTCCAAATGTTTGAAGATGTCCAATGCATCCAAAAAAGGGCTGAGATATTGTTTGTGATAGATGAGCTGGGAGATAAAGCACCATTAAAACATAATTTTAAAGTAAATACGTAATTTACTAGGAATTACAAGCTAGAGGCCCATAAAGAGAGCAGGGAGTCTGGTGAGGATGCCAACTTTGACGTTGATGGGCTGTTATACCTCCAATATGTCTGTGTGCATGGGTAATAAAACATATTTGAGGCAGGCACGCTATGTTCTGTAAGCTTTTTGTTTCCATATTCTAATGTACAACTACATTAGAAGTGGTCTGTCATGACCAAAATAATGGTTTGTTTTAGTAGGTTGTGAATTTTTTTTATACAGCTAGTCATCTACAAATGTGTCTTCTTTTTTTTTATTTACAGATATAATTAAATGCATATTATGTATGAAATATGATTATATGAAATCTATTTTAATGCCCTGTGTCTTCTCCAACCATCAATTTATTTGAAGTGGTATTTCTGAGCTTACAGCTTTATCTGAAAGGGGCGAGATAAAACGTGAAAAATATTTAGATGTGTATAGTGACCGACATTAACAAACGTCCCCAGTGTGAAGTGGAACTTTCTATCTCTGAATATAAACTATTAACAAGTTAGCCTCAGTTTCAGAAGCTGGCAGCCCTGCGAGAATGCAAACTAGCAAATTTCTTATACCAGACAGCTAAAATATGTGGTCTGTTGAGAGAAACCCGTAGGTTGCCATTGCAGATCACTGCTTCTGAAAATGCTAGTTGCCTGACTGTTATGCTAATTTAGTTGAATTCACTGGAACAGTTATGCAGTTCAGGCGTTCTGACTTTGTGGGTTGGGTGCTTGTTTTAGGTCACAATCAAAAAGAGTTGATTCTGAAGACAGTTAACAGCATTGTTAACTTGTGCAGGTTGCCTTTAAGATCATTAGGAAGTATGAAGTTTCTATGCTGTCACCTAGCTCCAAGCAGGAAAACTACAAATCCCATCATGCTTTTGCCTAGGGGAGGCATACCTGTGGCTGTCAAGAGACCTTACGGTATTTGTAGTTCCACAACATCTGGAGTGCCAACTTTGCCTACCCCTGATGTGGTTGTGCTATATACGGCAAATATGTTTTTCACACATTGTGTTTTCCTGAAATTGGAGTAAATCCTTATTTTGGCTGCAAATATTGTTTGGCAGAGCTGTTTTTGAATATACTATGCACATGCTGTAGAAGTAAGCTATCGTTTCTATCGTACAATCCGCAAGAAAATGTTAAGGAACCCAGCATAAGGACGCTAAGCTTATTTCATTGTGCTGCAAAGGGGAAAGGGTTGTTGTCAGTAGCATACGCTTTGGCTTTAGCTTTTTTTTCTTCGTCGAAGTAGAAACATTTAATTAGATTTGTGTTTACTAAATTAAATTAGATTTGTGTTATCGTTCCTTCGCTCCAGTATTTGTATTTTTTAACAGTCCTTTTACTAGTTTTAAACTGTCAAATCATCCTGTTTATTTGGTGCCTTTTCCTAAAACAAACATTTACAAAGCATGGGGTGTAGGAGTTAGCAGAGGAGCTTTTCTGGCTCCCCCGGACATTCTGCACATAATTCGGCAGGGCTGGTCAGGTGTTTCTGCCTGGGGCCTATGGATATGTACAGGCTAGGAGCGCTAATGGGATCATACATTTTCATCTGCATTTCGGTATTAGTCTGACTGGATTTTAAGCAGCCATTTTGTCTAATGTAACCATGTAGTATGTTTTAAGAAGCCAGCGAAAGTCTACTACAGCTTTCGTCAACAGCGAAGGCTCATTGCACAAACAGAATATGTACATAGATCAATGCATTCACACTCTATAGCTACGCAAGATGTGATTCAACTGCATTTGTGTATTTCCATTTATGATGCTGTTTTATATAGGTTTGGTCATTGCAATGTAAAAGTCCTTTTGTTTAGGTAATTTATCCTTTTGGGAGGAACACGCTTTGACAAATGGCATTGTAAATCTAGCAGTACAGTCCAGGGTCTAGCTTTCCAAAGCTAACAGACTTTTCCTGGTTCTCGGACTGTGTCATGTGATGGACTAAACCCTGCTTTTATAAGGTTTTAAAAAAAACATCTCAGCATTTATAATCATGCATTTTGGGACAGTGGTGGTGATAATGCCTTAATTTTCTTCAAGTGTATCAAAACTCAAATACAAAAATTTAAACAGTCCAGCCTAACAAATGGGTAGCATTATTGCAATATTTGTCTCTGCAGATTGAAATGCGCCCACACAAACTGACTATCGTAGTGTTGAACTCTGCTGTAAATTCAGTGACTAATACAGCGTGTGTGTGTGTGTGTGTGTGTTCTACGCTAAATTCTCTAATATGGGATCTATAGAATACTAGTACTAATTTAGTTTTAAAACCAGCATAGGTTTATTGTCTTGCTAGTCTTTACAAATGAACAATAATAATTACATCATATTGTACAGGCAGGGCCTGATAAAGTGACTGTGCACTGCGTCATATCCTGCCCTTTTTTCTTCTACTTGTTATTTACACGAGAAGCCAGCATCTTGGCATGGACAGTACATAGGATGGTAAACCCTGTATAGATCCATATTAGTCCTAGTTGCAGAGATGGACAGTGTGCAGCCTTCCAGCTGTTGCGTCATCATGCTTTGCCAGCCATCTCTGCTTCAGTGTAAAAATGACAATATCTGAAGTTACATAATGCAGATTAAAAGTAAGCTTTATGTACTTGTCTGGAGAATATCGTAGTAGCAGATGTTTAGATAAATTGCACTACATCCTGGACGTTTTCTGTAAATTGAAATGGGACTTCTTTTAAACCTTGCCTCTTTCCACAGTACTTTTTATGAAAAATCTTTTCTCAACCCATTTCATGCCATACTCCTTTTGGCTTAATTATTTATTGAATCTCAATTATTCCACTTAAAAGCATTTTAGTAAGCTCAACGCAATGATATTTTCTCAGGGTGCTTTCAAATAAATCCTGAGATAGTCATTGCTAAGACATTCAGTGCAGTTTTATAGAGGCAGAGAGGACCTGATGTACCAAGTAGCATTTCATGTTGCTGTATATTACTTTATAAATTAAGGTATGTTTGAAGCACTTTCAGAGTATGATGGGCAGGTGATATACACCACAGATTGGGGTTATTTACACATAGCTCACTTGCTCCTCAGTCTTTCCAGCTTCATTTTCAGTAAGTAATAAGGTGTCAAGCAAAATGGCAGATGACTCGAGCTGCGAGTTACGTAATCTTAGTGGACTTTGATACATGACTGGGTTTATTCCGTTTTTCATTCCATGTTTCATGATGAGCTTTGAATTTTCTGCCACAGAGGTCCGGAATGATATGCGACTAGAGCAGTTTCGTAGGATTCTTACTGAGTGCATACCCTGGAAATTACAAGTGATGTAGCGTCCAAAGGCATCTCTGAAAGTCTTGTTAAAAAGCGTGTAGACCAATGGGTTGACCCCTGAAGAAATATACCCAATCCAGACAAATATCTCCATTAGCATCTTGATTACATCGGGGTCACAGTCGTTTGGGTCACAGAGGACTGAGGCCACATTGGTAATGAAAAAAGGACACCACATAAAAACAAACAAGAAAAAGACTATGCCCAAAACCTTAGAAGCTCTTTGCTCATTGGTAATGGTCTGCATGGATTTCTTTCCCACACTAGATAGCCTCCGAATGGGTAATTCATCACTGTTAATCTGGAAAGCCCGATCACGTCTTTGACCGTCTAACATTGCAACCTTCTCAGGAGAAGAACTGGGAGTCATCTCTCTCTGAAAGACCGTAGACACTGTGGACCAGGTTAGCCGTTGAGGTGGCTTGTTCTTGATTAGGTATGCTTTTTTTCTCAGTAAGTGAATGGTCAGGAAGTAAATGACCACCATAATTGCAAATGGGACAAAAAATGCAGCCATGGATCCATAAATAATGAAGTACTTGAAGTGCTCAGTCCGAACCAGGCATGTGTTGTTTGTGTCAAAGATGGTTTCGGGTTCGAGTAGACCTCTGATTGGGATGGGGACAGCAATGCCTGAAAGAAAACAAAGATCAGTTTACCTTCCAATAAAACTTATATAAATTCTTTTTAAGTGCTGCACTGAAGGGGATTATTTCTGTTGATGCCAAGAACGCCTTGAAACCTAATCCACAGACATTTGCTAATGTTTTCAGGTTATCAGGAGCACTAGTATTTTTTAAAGTATGCAAGATACCGGTTTCTTTTTAAGGTGGGCAGAAATATTTTACCAATAAATTAAGTGTATATCACAACAACTGCAACATTATAGTAGCATAAAACACATGGTTTTGTCCGCAGTTAGTTGCATCTTTCTGCAAATTTGATTTCCTGTACTGCCGTACAGCTGCCGCTTACTGATTACCAAAGCTTTATCATGCAAGACCCAAGTAATCTGATCATTATGCACTGTAAGCTATTTCAGGCCAGAATAAATTAAAGGAAAGTGTTTCTGATCCGTTCTATGGGGAAGCATGAGGATAGTTTTTCAGGATGTCCCAGTTATGCAGGGCACCTCCACAGCTGCAGGATTCAGAGAGGATCAGCAGGTTGTCTTAGCTTTTGTAACTAGCAGAGGCTGTTGCCAGTTAGTCCACTTGCCTGGGATTAGGAGCGGAGGTTGCACCTTGTATGACATTTGTATAACCTCTGGTTGTGCGTACAAGGAGTAGCCCGTTCCATATAATAGCAAATAATACATCTGTGAGTATCATTTTCATTATCTAACCTCCCCCTATTCTATATATTTTTCTGGCTGTTATTTAGAATTTCAGTTCATACAAAAGGTTGTTCACAAGTCTAGTAAGCTCCGTTTTATTTCAGTGGGTAGATGAAGCCAAATCTTTTACCGAAACAGCAGGAGTTATAGCTTAATTTATTAAAAATATACTTGTTACTTAATGACACTTAAGTAATGTTAAAGTACACTTGTCATAGATAAACATTTTCAAAAGGCAGCCTGTAATGGCAGGCCCTGCACTTTTCTCATGGCAGGTGTACTTTAAATAATGTTTGCTATTAGTGTAGCCTTTCTAAAGAGTTTTGTTTTAGAGATTCATTTTCCAAAAAAAGTTTAATACAAATGAATGTTTATTCTAAAATAAACAGCAGTTTTGCATTTGCTAAAGCAGTTGTTAATACAAGGTTCTCATACAGCTCAGTAGTATTCTAGGTATCTAAGGCTGCTTGCATATTGTATCAAATAGACATGTTAGCGTGTCATTTTACACGGATAAAAATGGATGCATGTTTCTAACTAGTTTTTTCTTTTTTTTCTTCTAATTAAAATGTAAAAATAAAGACAATACATAGCGGTAAACTAGGGTTATATCCGGAAATGTTTTATTCTCCTGAGTGTTTATATACATTTTTCTGCAAGTGTATGTAAAGCCAATTTGTTTTTTTTGTCATGGAATATGTAAGGGGTAGAGCCTCTGTCTTTTTTTATTCTTTCTTTTTATTATTAATGTCTGTGTCCCTACAGGGTGATTCACCTTAATTTGTGGTGCTGGTGAAGGGAACTTCCCCCTACAGAACAAGCAAATACAATTAAAATTAAAATTTGCTATGTCTGTCCAAAAGTAAAATTTCAAGGTTTTGGCTTTACATACACCTTGTGTTTTAAAGGAGAACTATGAGGTGAGTGAGTGATTCCCCTCTCCCCGCTCCGATCTGCCAGCGCTGACTGGCGGAACGGATGGAGAGGGGGCGGGAACAGCTGGCTCTGCCTCTAGATAGACAGAGCCAGCTGTCACTCACGCAGCTGGGCGGATCCTGTCATCTAAGTCAGGATCCGCTCCGGCTGCGGCGTCTCAGTATACTGCGAGCTGTAGCTTGCGGTATACTGAGCTTAGGGTAACGGACGCTAGTTTGTGTCCTCCCGTTACCCTAAGGAGAACTATGGGGAAAAACACTGACCCCCATAGTTCTCCTTTAAAGAAGGGACAAATTATTTTATAGAGGTATGATCTGTGAATTGATGGACCTTTGCTAAGCAAAGATAGATGCCTAGGCATGAATGGATAGAAGGAAAGTATTCCTACTTCTGTGCAGCACAGAGACAAAATGTTTGACTTTGGAGTCCCAAGTTATGGGGCATCCAGTATTAATCTGGAACTCTCATTTTTTCTAATTTTGTTTTTTTTTTGACATACTGACCTAATCAGTGTGCAGCTGGACCTTACAACTTTTTCTTTCTATGGTCAGTGTGGATGGGCTCTAATCTGCCTGCACCCAATCTCATTTGGAAACCAGCACACCGTATGAGTTGGTGGAGTGGCCATTTTCCTGTCTTCTCACAAATGTTTGACTATTGCTTTATGACCTGTCACAGCATGGAGCAGACAAGCTTCTGTTTGTTTCAGTTTGTGTTGAAAAGACAGAAGACTTTGCCTATGCATCTTACTCAGTTATAACAGGAAGATGACTTTCCTACCTGCTGATATCAACCACACCACTGCAATTTTTACAAGCGTTTTTGCTCTTGTGTTGAATTGACTGGCTTGGATAGGTTTTTTAATGGCGATATACCGGTCCAAAGATATGGCACACAGGTGTATGATTGATGCAGTGGAAAACAGGACGTCCAGAAATAGCCAAATGGCACACAGGCACTGCGGCAGAGGCCAGCCAGGTTCTGAAAAAGACAAAGATTCATTACATGTTTGGCTAAAGTTACTTGAGATCTTTCATCTAATCATTTCAACAAATACTTTGCAAGTGACTATCAGTCACCCACTAGAAATAAAAAAAATATAAGGATTTTTTTTAATGCTTGCTCATATGAGAGTTTATGATGCAGTTGAACAGTTACAGTAAATTGTGATACTTTTATAATAGGTGTTAATGTAGAACTAGATAAGAATCCAGTAATCGCCATATTCCATGTGTTCTGTAGGTGAGAAGATTGATTAACACCTGGTTAAAGGTGGCCATACCCCAAAAGCTGCCCATACACCTTACAACCATTGCACGACTTTCGTTGTGCGATTTTTTTTTTTTTTTGTAAGGTGATTCAAATTTCATACAATCTGCCCATCCTGGACAGACCGTACTTGCGATAATCACAAGCCCTCCCCGCTGAGAGGAGGGCTTCCGATTTAGTGCAGTGCTGAGCGGGCCCGTGCGGCAGTCGTCTTCCGAACATGCCACCAACCCGCCGAAAATCGTCCGATTTTGGGCAGGTTTTCCAGCGTGCTCGGAAGACTAAAGTCGTGCGACCTTACAGTAGAAGCGGTCGCACGCTGCCCGTACACCTGCCGATTATCGTACAATTGCGGGTCACCCGGTATTATCGTACAATAATAGGCAGGTGTATGGGCACCTTTACAACCATTGTACAACTTTTTGTCCTGACATCACATCCTAGTTCAATTTTCATTCAAACCGCACATCGTGCACAGAGCAATTTAGTTTGCGATTATCGTTCATCAGCACCAGTAACTGGCCGATTTTCCTCCATCGACCAAATTTCCGTTTGAGCATGTGCAGTTTTCATGAGATTTTTGTTCTACAAAATGCCACTAACCTGTTTTTCTAGTCTGCCTGAAAGATGAAAATCTGCCAGTAGTACAGTGATTGCGGTTGTGCACTTCCCATCAATTGGCATATTTTTGAACGAAAACGCGATTGCGGTCAAAAATCGCCAGATAATTGTATGGTGTATAGGTACCTTTTTTATAAACCCTGATTTTAGCACTCTGGAGATGTGAATCCCTACCTTTTAAATCTCCCATCATGGCCACTGCCTTCTGCCCTAAGATGGTTGGAGAGACCTGGTAACAATGCTAACTGTTAAGTCAGCAGGAAGTTGTCCACTCATAAAATTTCTAATAGGATCAACAGGTATTTTTTAGCCTTTTCAGTGTATATTGAACAGACCAAAAGAGAGCCTATAAGAGAAGTTTAATGTTTGGATTTATTTGCTCTGTGAATAAGCAGTTGCTCTGCAGCCTGACTTTTTACAGCTTGATAGTCCTAGCATGGCTATTTAACTGATCCACGAAAATGTCCCCCCCACACCCCCACATAATCTTTATTTATACACGACACAAATACAGACCATGACATAAAGGCATTGTGTAGAACATTTTAAAATAAGAATTACACAATGAAAAGCAATGATCAACCACCGGAGCAACACGGGAACTCACTCAGGCGAAAGAGCAAAAGGTTTAGTACCAACAAAAGGTTACATTGCTGTCCCTCCGATACACCAGGGGTGATACCTTTTAATATAACATAAAGACAGACAATGCCGGTAAAATGTTTAATTGTGCAAAGGAGCCTGTTAGGACAGACATATGGTAGTTACCATTGCTGAATTTTGTTTTGAATGTGAATGATCCACCACTTTAATACATATGCTCGCTGTGCAACCAACCTGAAACATGCATACACAATTGGGTTTTTGGACTGCCGATATGAACCTATATTCTGGGTTTAATCACACACACCAAGGGCCATGTCAGATGGGCAATTTATCCAGATGAATACTTTTTTCTTTCAAAGCAATTTCTCTGTATTGAAATCCTAGTTATTTTCTATGAAATTGCTAAAGCACTTATTTTTACTGCAACTTTTAGCACAGTTGCTCAGTGAAGGAGTTTGTCAGCAATTGTTTTCTATTTGCCCTGTTCACACCATACCTGTTCTGTGGTGTGAGTCAGTAGACATGGTGTGAACAAACCCTGACTGAAAAAGTGATTTGTAACACAGCATGCCAGCATAATGATGCAGCACTAGCTTAACTTGTAGCAGTGATAAAATGCTTCTTGGTAACAGCCAACAACTATAGCAATTAAATCACTAGGAGACGGATCATAACCCTAGAGCTGTGTTCCTCAGCCTCATTTCAGTCACAGCACCTATTAAATGTATGCAAAAAATCTCGAGGCACCCCAGCAATAAAAAATAGTACCTACCATCACATCAGGAGCTGCAGCATGGTAGAGAGTGGGAGGCGGAGCAGGATTAGATGAAGGCAACCTTCCATGTGAGATACTGTGCAAAAGTTTTAGGCGGGTGTGAAAAAATGCTGTAGAGTAAGAATGCTTTCAGAAATAAAATTAATAGTTAATTTTTATCAATTAAAATGGAAAGTAAATGGACAGAAGAGAAATCCAAATCAAATCAGTATTTGGTGTGACCACCCTTAGCACTCAAAACGGCATCAATTCTTCTAGGTACACTTGCACACAGTTTTTGAAGGAACTCAGCAGGTAGGTTGTTCCAAACATCTGTAGAACTAGCCACATATCTGTGGATGTAGACTGCCTCAAATCCTTCGGTCTCTTCATGTAATCCCAGACAGACTCAATGATGAGATCAGGGCTCTGTGGGGGCCAAACCATCACTTCCAGGACTCCTTGTTCTTTATGCTGATGTTCTTAATTGCATTGGCTGTATGTTTGTTTGGTATGGCATGGTGGATAAGTATCTTCTTGTATTTCTCAGCATTGAGGACGCCTGATGGTATGGCATAATGGATATGTATCTTCTTGTATTTCTCAGCATTGAGGACACCATTAATCCTGCCCAAATCTCCCAACTCCTTTGAGAGAAATGCAGCCCCAGACTTGCAAGGAACCTCCATTATGCTCCGCTGTTGCTGCAGACACTCATTATTGTACCACTCTCCAGCCATTTGGTGAACCAACTGCTTTCTGCTTCAACCAGAGATTTCCGATTTTGACTCATCAGTCCAGAGCACTTGCTGAAATTTTTCTGTGTCCTTGCAGCCAAAAAGCCATAACTCCAATGTGGAAGCAAGGCTAAGCGACTCAACTATGCACGAAAACATAGGAGTTTTTGGGGCAAAAATGGCAGCAGGTGCTCTGGACTAATGAGCCAAAATGGGAAATATTTGGATGTAGTAGGAGGCAGTTTATTTGCCGAAGGGCTGGGAAGCGGTGCAATGATGAATGTCTACAGCAACAGTGAAGCATGGTGGAGGTTCCTTGCAAGTATGGGGCTGCATATTGGTCAGGATCAACGGTGTCCTCAATGCTGAGAAATACAAGCAGATACTTCTCCATCATGTCATACCATTAGGGAGGTATGTGATTGACCCAAAATGTATTCCAAAGCAGGGCAATGACCCCAAACATACAGCCAATGTCATTAAGAACTTTCTTTAGCATAAAGAACAAGGAGTCCTGGAAGTGATGGTTTGGCCCCCCATGATCTAAACATCATGCAGTCTGTCTGGTATTACTTGAAGAGACAGATGGATTTGAGGCAGTCTACATCCACAGAAGGTCTGTGGCTAGTTCTCCAGATGTTTAGAACAACCTACAAGCCGAGTTCCTTCAAAATCTGTGTCCAAGTGTACCTAGAAGTATTGATGCTGTTTTAAAGACAAAGGGTGGTCACACCAAATATTTGATTTGGATTTCTCCTCCATTTACTTTCCATTTTGTTAATTGCTAAAAATAAAATATTAACACTTATTTCCAAAAGCGTTCTTACTTTAGTAAAAAATAAATATACAGTTTGCCTCTGTCTTATGTTGAAAAATTATTTGGGAGAAATGGGCCAGTGATCAGTCAAAGAAGGTCCTGTGTGCAGCACATTATTTTAACCTAAAAACCCAGGATTTATGTTCTCTACTGCTGGAGATTCTGTAACAAGTTCTGGTAATCTTGTGATACTTCTTTTGGTTTTCTCAATTCTTGAACTCTAGGGATCAGGGTAGAATGTCTGAATAAATAATGGCTCCTCTTTAGCTAACATCTAACATTAGACAAACAGAAAGCTGCCATTACTGACTTCTCATTCTGCAAATACTAGTTGTCTGACCTCTTGCTTCATGACTTTGCTCAGACTTTTCTGAATGCATGCTTGTTCCAGGTTTGCTCAGAACGAAATAAAAGCATAAGCATAACTGTTAGGCATTTTTAGGTCAGCCTTAGCAGCCCCATATTTTGCTAACTTTGCTTTAACTGGGTAGATTTAAATATGTATTTTTATTGTTTTCCATGATGTAGAAAGGGAAAAATATAGAGAACTGAATTTAGGAAGACCTGATCCAGCCCGTCCTTTCAGTTTTCCAGTGATATTTTGCTGTGGAGAGTGGTGGGACTCTGTCTGCTTTTAGGCCATCAATGCAGCGAAGAAGCAATCCCAATGGCATTACAGATGTCGCCAAGATTTCCCATGTAACCACAATGGAGCCCAAGCCATTCCGGACCCTCCCACAGACATTGAAACAAGGTGCTTTTTTATTTTTTCTCTAAAGAGGTGCTGCAGCTAAAAACAGCTTTTGCTGTGCTATGTTAAGACTGCAGGCAGGTCTGAAGAGGCTGATGAGGCAGAAACAGGGCTGTCCCTAACGCATTCGCCACCTGAGGCGATGTGGTGTCATTCTTGGGGGGGCGGGGGGAGGTTTGGATGGTGGTTTATGGGAAGGGGGAACGTTACCTCTGGCTCCAGCTGTGTCCTGTGTCCTGCCCAGCTCACTAACGTCACCGGATACGTGGAACTTGGCAGGGTGCAAGCCAGAGCATCCCACTCAGCTCCTGACAACCAGTAATAACAATGAGCTGGGCAGGAAGTCTCTGTCAGAGCGTCACTGGTTGCTAAGAACACACATACCTGCCACCCACAATCAGATGCTGCCTGAGGCAATCGCCTCAGGCTGCCTTATTATAGGGACGTCCCTGTGTAGAGTTATGTGCAGGTTGCACTAACTAGTAATTTTCAAAGTTCTGACTAAACCTATAAAAGGTAAACAGTTCGATATCATCACTCTTTGAACTTTTGGCTTATGGCAGCAAGTTAAAGAAAGTGTTTAATTCTGATTATAAGGATATATAATTATAAAGATACTGATTTGTCTGTCAGATGGTTCACCAACTTCCAAGTAGTAGAAGACAGGCAGCTGAGAGCAGCAACTGTCAGATAATATAAACCTCTCATTGGTAAACCTGCACCATTATAATCATTTTAGACTATATATGCTCATATTCTTGATTCTTGAACCCAATTATGACTGATTCTCCATCGGGAGTACTTTGTAGCTTATGCCTGCTATAATCCAAGGGCAACTTTACTAGTGTTACCTACCAGTTACAGATACCACAGGGAAAATAGTTTGCATGGCCTTTTATGTGTTTCTGTAGAATACCATATCCTAACAAGATACTGGCAGTGTAAGGCCTCGTTCACACCTGAACGTTTTGTAGCGCGTTATACGCTCAACGAACGCTCTACAAAACGCTCAAACATCTAAATCCCATTGTATGCAATGGGTCTGGTTCACACCTTGGCGTATTTCAGCCCGTCCCTAACGCGCTACAAAACGGGCCACGCCTGAAAAGGTACATGTACTACTTTGGGCCGTTTTTGTTGCACGTTTCCATTGGGATACAGCCAAGTAGCCCTCGGAAACGTGCGTTTGGCGCGCAATTTTTTTACCGCGCGACAGACGCGCATATGCAATACGCCTAGGTGTGAACCAGGCCTAAGTGTGGAATGTGGGGTAATGTTTATTAGGACAAGGGAAACTCAAAGCTTATAATGGTGATGCATTGTATGAAGTTTGGGGAAACTGATGTGACGCAATCATTACTGATGGAATGGAAATACCATTTATATGACCTTTTACATACTAGTTTAGATAAGCTGAGATTTTCTTTTTAAATTCCTAAAATAAACTTTTTTTGCTGAAAGAAACCTGGGGTCTGCCGTTGCAGATGTCCTTCTGAAAATTCCAGTTGCCTGGTAGTAATGTTGATTCTCTAATTCCAAAACATTCTCAGCCACTGTCCTGTGTCACTCCTGCTGCTAATGAAGTCAGAAAAAAATGAGAACTCTAGATCTGCATACAGTATTTGCTCCAGGTCAAAGACTCAAAGGGGTATTAAAAAAAAAATGACAGCTTGACAGGCAGCCAACAAGGATTTTCAGAAGAAATCCCCAATGGCAGGGTCCAAGTTTCCTGCAGACCAAGTGTTAATGTACATTGAAACTTCAATGAAGAGCTCTCTGACCAAAATTACACTGTTCTTATTTTTACCCAGTATACCAATTTAATTGTAGACTGTTTTAATGTATGCATGTGTTAGCTTCCTTCAGTTTATAAACTTTTTCCTCCCTTTGGTAATATTTAGATTTTATTTTCTGTTTCTTAGGCACTAAATTATGTGCATAATACAATAGAGACAGACCAAGCTGCAGGGCCTAAACAATTTCAAATAGAGTTGGCATATCGTATAAGAGCCTTGACAAAGCCCCCATAAACAACAACAGGAGATGGAAGAGACAGCCTTCCTAACAAACCAAATCGGCAGATTAATAAAATAGTTAGGATCACAAATTTGGCTCTTGTACTTTTTATAGCATTAGGCTAATGACACTTCTATTGATTAAGATGTGCCTGGTAGAATAACGGTAGTTTATTCATCGGCTCTCTCTAATTACAGCGGCAAGTTTTCCATTTTATAAAGAGTAATGCTTCCTTTGTGCATTTCCCTAGGCTGTGTGCATTCATTTCTCAGAACGAGCAGTAATTTTACTAAAAATGAGAAAATCCCCTATAGAACTCTAGAATCTTTTTTTCTTTGTATTGGATTTGATATCATCTGGATTAGATTTATTGTTACTTAATGGACATAACCGTTTTGCTGCACCGATTTGATCTTCTCTTTCTTGTGACCATTTTGGATTTATTCTAAAGCTCCCTTGGATAGCCTTCTCTCTTTGAAGTAGTGGTTTTGTTTAAAGCATGAAGACATTTTTTTATTTTATTTCCTATAACGTGGAATGAGTCTTCACAGCAGTATGCAGTGGCAGAGGAAGCTATAGAGTCCCAGCAGCTTGTTCTCGGCCTATATATAAACACGCATGAGATTTGTATATGAAGTGCTGTACTATTCTCTCAGTTCTGTCCATACCCACACAGCACATGTAGATTTATGGAGGAATAGTATAAATAAAGTCTTATAATACAGCACTTTCTAAAGCACGTTTGAAGTCTTGAGTCCGACTTAACATAGTATAGGCCTAAATGTTAGCTGTGATGTGTATTTAAGAGACCAGGGACTGCTAAATTGCTAAAGACGGTGTAGCTTTGAGCACATCTTGATACAAATGTATGATTCTATACAGATTATAATTTATTTTTCCGTTAAGGTCGGGTATTAAAAGCCAAATTTACAGTGTGAAATTTCCTGAAGTATTTCAAACATTTGTGTTTTTATTTGAATAAACGACAACATTATCATCTGAAAATGTCATATTTCTTTTATACCTTAATCATTTTGTTTTACATTGAGTCCTGGGAACAAAGCCTCATAGAATTTTGTTTACCAGACACCTGAATGATCCCAACAGGAACACTGGGGCTCCTGTTTACATGGGTGTCTTTATATTGCAGAAATGTTAGTTTTATCAAATACTTTTCTTGTATTTTACCCAGAAACCTTTGTTTTTGCTCATCCTTTTATTTTGGGATTTTAAACTGATTTGCCGGTGTGTTTAAATTATTGTGAAATACTTGTTTGCCATTACTCAAATGTTCCACAATGATGCAATTCCCAATATTACTCCTTAGAACAAATGTTATCAAGTAATGTGCTGACCAAAGTAATTGCTTTTGGGAACCCAAAACCAATCCTCAGCCTAGTCCCAACCACAGGTTGTGGTGCACTTTTTCTATAGACACTTTTAATAGTAACATCAATGACCAGGTTATGTTTGGAGTTAGTGTACATTTGCCTTCAGTGATGATTTGCAACTCTGTTCAGTGAGTTTCATAACCTGTGTACTGTGTTCTTTATCATCATGCCAGTAACTGTGCTGTTTATTTGCCTGTAACAAGCGTGTACAAACTTTGTTAGGACCACGTTGAGAAGATATAGCAAAGATAGCTGTTAGGACTGAGCGGCAGCAATTTAACAATTTTCCCATGATTGGTGTTATCTCCATCTAAACCATAATTTGGGTAGGGTTTAAGGCTATGTGAAATCTTAAAATCGGAACATTATTTTGTATCTGGTTCCAAAGCAACAACTTTTATGTTGCCAAAAGTAAGCAGCATAATTTATTTATTTTTTGGGGTAAATAAGTCAAAAGTTTTTATGCTTTAGGGTACTTACTGAACATAATGGTGAGCAGTGCGATGGGCATCACAAATATCCCAACCAGCAGGTCTGCCACAGCCAACGACATAAGAAAGTAGTTAGTGGCATTTTGTAGTTTCTTCTCCAGTGATATTGCCAAGATTACCAGGATGTTGCCACCTATTGTAGGAATTATAACCATAAGCGTGAGTAGCGCCAGCCAGCACTTTGTTGCTTCTGTTTCTAGCCAGGTGTTGTTTAAGTAGCTGCCATTGTAAGATTGGTTGAGTTCTGGCATTTTGAGCCAGGGAGTAAAGTCAGGAGGTCCTCCAGATAAATGGGGATATGTCAAAAAGGCTTCTTCCATGTCTTCTCCACCATTTCATCTATCCAAGCCATATCATTGCCATTCACCCCAAATTTGTATCCACCATTTTTTATGCTTGGAAAACAACCATACTGTTTCTGACATCTGTGTCAAGCCTTTGCTGTCTATATGACACCAGCACCCTAAAAGATACCCAAGTTGAGTAGATGATGGAAGTTTTTGTTCAAAACGCTTTTTTGTAGTTCTTCAGTTGAAGGATATTCCTCTTGTGTCCTTCTCTAATCACCAGCCTTCAGCATTCTTTCTTCTGCCATGCAAAGATAGACTTGATTTTGCTTGTGGGAGGTGTTTCTTTAACCCTTTGTTTGCCAGAGCTGTTCTTCAGATGTTTTAGCCTGTGTCCGGTTGTGACTTTTCTTCCTAGGTCCATCTAGACAAGACAGAATAAATGTTTATCTCCATAATAATATTTAAACTATCCGTGGTACTTTGTTTTTAATATCTTTTAAATACTGTGCTCTGCCCTAGTAATGAGGCAGATGAGGGATTTGCTTTATTTAAACCCATCTGTTTTGATCAAGCTTGTCGGTATAGCTGTGCCCCCTCCTCCTTCAGAATGGATATTATCTGCGGGTAACCTAACCTCGCATAAAGCTTTAAACTCTTCATTTTTGGTGGCCTGGTACAATTTCCAAGGGTGCTTTGTGACTGAGTTGGTTTATCCAAACACATGCTACACGATGTGTGGCTGACCACAGAATACAATATACTTTGTTCAATATACTAAAGATATGGTCTGAATTTTCTTCTCAATATAAATGTTTGATAACGACATACAAATAATTGTATAGTGCAGTTTCAAGGCACATAGCTACAAAATCCAGGCTCTTCTGTGAGTTGGTATGTTTGTGTTCTTGGAGTCTCCTCCCTTCTAGTTAATTTAGCTCCATTAAATATAAGCAATGAACAAAGATATTGATCTCTTGTCCAAAGGATTCTGAAAGCCAAACCTATGCTGCTGTTATGTATATAGTCATTTATGGAGATGTGTTCATATACAATTTCCTTACTATGTTATTGTGGGGAGTGCTGTTTAACAATGAAAAGTAGACATAAGAGAAAATTGGTGATGGCGTAAGTTTTTAAATAAATATAAAAATATGAATATATATAAAAAGTCATTTTTAAAAGATCACTTTGTTTGGAAATGACCATGCCCGAAAACATTCTATACATTTAGTTGCCCCAATGCTTGATGTCATACATATGGCTGATCTAACATACCTTTCAGTGTTCTATATACACTATATGGAGGTGATGGTTAGTTTGGTACTAGTACTATAAGCACGTTTCTGATTTCATACTCACCAGAACTGTACAGCTGTGAGAACTTTGTATGATGTGATTGTTACTTTCTTCTCATGCTTTTCAGTTGCTCCCTTAAAGTTTGAGTAGTTGCTTGTCACTTTCCTTCAATGCAGAGGGTAGATCGCAGCACTCACACATTTTATGTGCCCCCAGGGACTCACGGTAGACCTTTTGTTAACTGCGTGTGTCTCGTGCATCTGTACTCCTGAATTGATTCACTCAGTCTCCTTAAGAGAATCTAGTGGAGGTTGAGAGCTGGAGGTCAGCCAGAAGCCAGGCTTCTCTTGATTTTCTTCTTGAACTCCCCCCCCCTTCTTTCTTTCCCTTAGTGCCTCCCACTAAATCCAGCTGCACCCTTGGGGGCTTCACTACCATTTACTGACAACAGACCCCAACATCAACACAACAAGAGGAGATATATTTAACACATGAAATTCTAGCTAGAGAGCAGATTATTGTAGCACCCATTCCTCTAATTAAAAACACACATATACTTGTGCCATTTTAAGATCTTTTTTTTTTATTTTCCTTAAGTTTCCATTGCTTTACCAACCCTTTTCTTCTCGGGGATATTTTACATTCATTGAATATTCATGATTGTCGGATATGATTTCAGTTTAAAAAGGTAGCAGTTTGCATAAGTCCACACTGGTAAATGTACGCAGATGATACACATCAGGTTAGTTTCCTAGGAGTTAATAATAAAGAGCACTATGGGTCATGGTATGACTGCGGTCAGCACCTCTCCACCATATGAATCTGACTGTGTCTGCAGAACCAAACGGAGCCTGGAGAATTTCATGTGCAGATATTGTATACACAGAACAGGCAGCGCATATACCTCTCCAATGAAAATGAACTTTTCTCTTTTGTAGCTGCACGGGCACTTCCCACACATTAACCCCTTGGTGAACTTTGTAATTCCCATCCAAATGTGAAACCTGTTCTGGACATCTTCCTGTCAATGCTTTATCCAAGGGATACGAAAGGACACTTTTTTTTTTTCTGGCAATCGGCCCTGCAGTAATTGTATCTGTGACCTGTATACATTGCACAGAGCTTTGTATATTTCCCGACAGGAAATCTAGAATCGTTCCTTTTTTGAGATAGGAGTGTATTCAGTGTAGCTGATAAATCGCATATGGTTATGGGGTTTTGTCTTTCGGGGCTTAGAAGATGATGCACTGTAATTATTCATGTATAGTAAAGAGGATGAACTGTGTGTTATCAACGTTGCCTGCATAGATCCTAATTTCATACAGTTGTCCTGGGTGAATTACATAGTAGAAGTGGTTTCCATTTCCTCCTGTGGAATACCTTTTTGGTTTGTTAAAATAAACCTGTGCATTATAAACAATTGCTATACACAGTGGTGTAGTGGTTAGTACTTCTGCCTTGCAGCATTGGGGGTCCCTGGTTCAAATCCAGTCAGGACACTATCTGCAAGGTGTTTGCATGTTCTCCCTGTGCTTGTGAGGGTTTCCTACAGGTACTCCGGTTTTCTACAGCACTCCAAAGAAATGCAGGTAGGTTAATTGGCTCCTGTCTTAAGCTGGCCATACACCTTACAACCATCGCACGACTTTCATTGTGCGATGGTTGTAAGGTAATTAAAATCTCGTACGATCTGCCCATCTTGGACAGGCAGATCGTACTTGCGATCATCGCAAGCCTTCCCAGCTGAGGAGGGCTTCCGATTCCAATGCTGAACGGACAGTGTGCGCTTGCGCACACCGGCCCGTTCGGCATTTGTCTTCCGAGCACGCCACTATTTTCGGCGGGTTTTCGAGCCTGCTCGGAAGACAAAAGACGGGCGACCGTACAGTAGAAACGGTCGCACACCCTCCCATACACCTGCCGATTATCGTACGATCGCGGGATCACCTGTGATTATCGTACGATCGGCAGTTGTATGGGCACCTTAAATCTGCCCTGCATGCGTTCGAGATAGGGACCTTAGATTGTAAGCTCCTTGAGGGAGGGACTGATGTGAATATGCACATAAGTGCTGGGTGAATTATCAGTGCTATTTAAATACCTGTAATAATCGTTTTTTTTTTAATAAACCCTTTTTTATAAACATTTTTTAATCCTTTCAAAAAACTTTTTTTCTTTTTACATCCCAATGCTGCTTATCTCCTGCTCTGGTTTGTCACCCACTTCCTGTCTACATGCATGCGCTCCAATGTCGGCTACATATCATTGCTCTGGATCGGCTTCCTTATGGTGACAGCAGGGGGTAATGTCTGCGCAATGTGTGTTGGCATGGCCGCTTGTAATTTCCACCAAGAGTGCATTTAACAGGGTGATGACCAGGAGCACAATTGGAAGTGTCAACCGAAAACAGGAAGTGACTGAACAATGACTTTCAGGGCAGTATCACCAGATATTCTATTCTTAAATACTGCATATTTAGGAAGATTATAAACCTCTTTTGAAATTACATTAATATGTTGAGGCTGGTGCTGTACTGAATGTATAATATAACCATTACTTGGTATCTGCGCTTTTTGCAATGTTGCATTTTTAAAGGATTTTTTGGAAACCGTTATTTTACAAAGAAACCTTTCATGCAGAATGCCATTCCAATAGGACAGCTTAACAATGCCTACATACTGGGTAGCAGCATTTGTGTAGTTCAGTCAGTTAGTTACATGGTCAATCTTATCCCTGCTAGGAGAGGGGTAGAGTCTTTTTCCTCCTGTGTATAATCTGCTTTCTCTGTTGATCTTGTGTTAGGCTCAAGAAAACCTGGTTCTTCTTCTTTTTTTTTTTTTTTTTTTAATAGAGCCTACCACCTGCAGGCTTCTAGTGGTAAATACCAAATATTTTAATATTCATATGCATCACTTTACAAAAGCCAAAAAACAAACTAATTGGGACTTTACATCCAATGCACGCAACATAAAACACTAATTCATTACACAAACATACAAAAATATGTCATTTAATACAATATTCATGAAATGATAGATGGCAATATAAAAAAATAACATGTCATTTATCAGATTAATCATGTTTGAGATGGTAACTAGTATTTCTCATCACTTTACTGCACGCACATTGTCGGTACAACATTATCTTCTGGTATAAAACACAAGTCTAAGCATTTTGCGGTTCTATATATAACTTCCTCAGGACCAATATATGTGCTGTTATCACAAGAATCTTTAACTTCTCAGAATGAATACTGTCTGTGTAATTTTATGTGAAACGCATATTGATTCCATATACATTTAGTGTGTATTCTGCTATCCATGTGGAGCAAGGGTGGGCAGTCCCAGACCTCCAGGTGTTGTGGAACTACAAGTCCCAAAAGCCATTGAGTGACGGAGTTACAGGCATGCCCTCCAGAGGCAGAAGCATGTTGGTATTTGTAGTTAAAACAAAGCTGGAGGGCTGGAGTTGCCCACTCCTGATCTGGAGTCTTTCCCCACATACCATCAGGCCTATGGGTCATATCAGTCTGCAGAAGGACCATAAATGTTACAAAATGGTGCCCAACCATGCCATCCTGGCGTCCCACACGAACAGGAAGCGGTTTCTAACCAGGTTAATGGCTCGTTTTTGCCTAGTGGGCAGTAAAAAAAAAATGTTTTCTCACTCTAACTTCCGAGCTGGTAGCGCTCCCTCCAGCCTGTTTCCTCTTCCGCTGCAGCGATGGTATGTTCCCTGGCGTCCTCACATCCTATACATTGTATTGGATGTGATGACTCAAAGATTCCTAGACTGCTGAAGAGGAGGAAGAAAGATGCTTCAGGGACCAGTGTAAGAGCAAGCCAGGTAAGAGG